GACTTAGTTCCCAAGTGATCTTTTGCTTGTTGACAAACTCATGTTTTATTGATTGTAGAAGCATGGAGGCCACCATCAAACATTATCAGATTAAAAGGAATGACTCTGAGCAGTGGTACGTGGCTGAAAGGCACCTCTTTCAATCAGTCCCTGAGCTGGTCTGGTATCACCAACACAACGCAGCTGGTACGTCGGGAACTTCAGGTGGGGAGAGCTGGGGCGCCGGGCCCCAGACAGGCAACGCATCTTTGGTCAGAGACTTAACAGGAGCAAATAACCCTGCAAAAATGTTCAAGAGCTTGAAATACAACCTATCTTCTGAGCGATTCTCTTCCTTGTTGCTGCTTTTTTCTTTTCCTAGTCAGGGGGTGAGAGGTAAGCTGACTTTTTACATTTCTGCCAGGTTAAAAAAATGATCGATGACAGAGAAGCAAAAGGCCATTTAATCATCATGCATTTGTCCTTGAAATTTACATGGAGTGAAATATAATACAATTTCAAATGTCCTAAAGAATCATACTTTTTTCTCTTTGCTCTGATAAATTTGCTCTCTGATTTACACAGTTGCAATAGCAAATTACCCTTAAATCTCTTGTTCTCTGTTCTTTCTTGCTTGGAGAACAGAAAAAGTTATACAAGACAGAGCCTTTCACAGTGACAGTTTGACTTGAGTATACCAGAGGCATATTTACCTATTTACATATTTATAATGACTATTTTTGCAAACCTACCATCTATGGAAAAGATTTAGGATTCCAGAAGGTTCCACCGCATTTACAGTCACAGCTCTGGCCTTCAGCCCTCCTCTAACCTGTACTGGACTGCTTTGAGCCCATGGGGGAATCTTTTTACCTCAGCATTGTCGCATTTGGAACCCACTGCAATTTTCATATTGTTTTGACTTCTTGTCATGCAGTACTTTAAAAAATTTTTCTCGTGAAAAAGTGTAATGACAAAAAAAAAAACACACCCTTTTGGAAAGCGGCCACTTTTCCATTGCACTGGTTCTAAACATCTGGAGTACATCCAAGGAAATTTTTAGCCACTTGTTGGATGGGTCCACATGAGTATTCCTGGTGTTCACTGGGAGTTGGGTTACAGAGGAAGTGGAGACATGTCTAAGCAGGGCAGGTGAGGACGCATTTGTGGTTAGACATAGAAACCCGTAGAATTAGGAGATCAGCGCTGACTTGTCTTCACACTCTTCTTTCCCCCTCCTTCAAAGAGAAAATTTAAGAAACAGATGGTTATGGGGTGAGGTTAAAAGAATACTGACGTAGATCAGGAGGTGCTGACATGAAAAGATGTTAGTTATATGTTGTTTAGTAAAGAAAAAAGTGTAAAGCAGTACATTTATAGTCCTGCTTTAGCAAAATAAATACTTACATCGACACATACAGGTGTGCATAGAAAACCTCTGTTAAAAGTGTAGGTAATATTTAGACGAGTAAGATTATAGCAGACTACAAAGTGTTCATGTTTACCTCTGGAGACTGAGACTGGGAATAAGAAAGCTTTTATTTTCTACTTTATAGATTGCTCTTGGGCTTTTAAATTATGAAATAGATAAATTATTCTTATAATGTGTAATATACCACACGAGTAATTTTTTAAAATATAAGCTCAATCAGGCAATAAGAAAAATGAAAAACAGGGTTGAAAACTTACAACTGTGGCCGCTGTTTATTAGGGAGAAAAGAGAGCAGAAAAGAGATAAGACACAGAGGAAGAGGGATGATCAGAGGAAAGACATGGACCCAGAAGAGCAGATGTGTATTGAAGACTCACTTTGGGCCAGCCCCTGCTCTGAGTGCTTTTGTGTACATTTGCGTATCTAATCTTCAGAGAGATCCTGTGAGGGGGATGCTGTCAATATCTCCGTCTCACAGATGAGGAAACCGAGGCATGAGTTGTGCTCAAGGTCACACAGTTAATAAGTATTTGCGCTGAGATTTAACTCGGAGAAATCTTTGAAACCAATGCAGCCATCGAATCCACCACCTCCAGAGTCTGTGTTTAATGCCTGTTGTCTACTCTAGAAAGAGGCAAATTACATCATTGGAGGGTCCAGTTTAGAAGATGCTATAAATTGAAACCCATGACCACCCTGTCTTCTTTTTGACTTCTGGTCGCGTTAGCTCATGACAGCTCATCTCCTTACCAGAAGTGAGGACCATGCAGAGTGACAGATTTTTTTTTTTCTGTTAAAGAGATGGACTATCACGAAACCATTGGTAGTAATTCACAGAATAAAAATGTTTGGCAAACACCAACTTTGAAGTGAGAGGAAAGTGTTAGGGTCTTAAGGAAATTCTCATTATGTTCTGTATCTGGATCATATGTTACAGACACCAGCTCCATAAGGGCTCAGCTAGGTCTTCAGAGTCACTGGTCAGCATCCTTTCCTGTTTTCTGTTCAAACTTTTATCATTCTCCTCAAGACCCCCTTGACAGTGTTATCCACTGCCCTGTCAGCAAATTGCCTCGCTGTCTACTTCAATAAGAAAACTGAAGTCTAAGAGGTACAAACTATTACGTATAAAATAAGCTACAAGGATATATTATACAACACCGGGAAAATAGCCAGTGTTTTATGATAACTATAAATGGAGTACAACCATTAAACATTGTGAATCATTGTATTGTACACCTGTAACTTATATGATATTGTACATCAACTATACTTCAATTTAAAAAATTAAATTAAATTAAAAGAAAATTGGAGTCACCTATGTCAGGCACATCCTCCTGCCCCCACACTCACCCTCTCACCCTCTCCTCCCCTCCAGGAGTGGAGGGGCCAAGCCTGTGCTTTATTTATTTATTTTTTTAAAGGTTTACTAATTTATTTATTTATTGGAGGAGGAACTGGGGATTGAACCCAGGACCCTCATGAATGCTAAGCACGCGCTCTACCTCTTGAGCTACACCAACCTCCCCACCAAGCCTGTGCTTATTCCCACCACTCCTCTCCTGTTGGGACCGCCCACCACCCACTCTTTCTTTCTCTCCTGTATCTCTTCCATTTCTTCTGCCTTTCTCCCTTTAGTCTGTAAACTTAGTACAAAAATGAAAACAAAGCTCTCCCTTGGTCCTTTCCTCCTTCAGACATTGCTCTTTTAAATCACACTTTTGGAAAAATGTGTCCACATGCACTCTCTTCACTTCCTCACTTTACATTTGTTTTTGAAACACCTGCCATCTGGCTTCTGCCTCCATTGCTCTGTGTTTTACCAATGACTCCCATACAGTGATGCTTTCTGCTTCTCACACTTGCAGGTACTCTCTGCTACTTTTGGCAGTGACATCTCTTGAACTTCCCTGCTCCCTAGATGTTTGACACCACCCTTTCTGGTTCTCTAACTCAGATCATTCCTCATGGGTCTTACCAATGGGTCCTGCTTCTACTCTTGCTTAAACATTGGTGTTCCTCAGGCATCCATCCCTTATCACTTCTCTTTTTCACCCTAGACATATCTCTTTGCATAATTCTTCTGCCTGGTAGACATGGACCCTGCAGTCCCAAAGGTCATGAACTTCAATGATGAAATGAAACTCTTCATCTAATAAATACCATGGCTTTCCTTCTAAACCTACCCTTCCTGTTGTCTGTCGCAGGTAATCATACAGGAGCTGGCAACATGGGAATCACAATAGATGCTTCCATTCCTCTTAATGGATAACTTCTGATTAATAATCAAGTGCAATTAATTTCATATCTTAAATATGTCTCATGTAGGTCCCTGCCTCTCGCTGCCTACTGGTGCCCCCCTAATAATTGCTCACCTGGACAATTGCAGTGGCCTCTTAACCAGTCTTGTCTTCTCTGATGTTGACTTCCTCTCAATCCATCATTCATACTGATTCCAGAATGATCTACCAAAAATGTAAATCTGAACAAACCACTCCTTATTTGAGTTCTTGTGCCCCAGAGCACCTTGTGGTCACCATCACAGGACTTACTCCATTTATATTGAAATGATCTGCCTCTCTCTGCCTGTCTTTCCTCACTGAGGTGGAGCCCCGGTGGGCAGAGTCCTCTTTTTCCTCATCTTTGGTCCTCTGGAATCTTTGGGATCAACCTAGAAGAGCATCTTGCTCACAATGGGCACTTAATTATGCTCCTTTCTGTTCTTATACCGGCCAGGCTTGTTTCTGTCTTCCAGCCTTTGCACATGTGGTTCCACCTGCTTGGAATGCTTTTCCTCCTGATCTTTGTCGGATGGCTCCTTGTCAATCAATGTCAGCATAGCTGTCATCTTGTCAGAAAGGTCTTCTGTGAGCACTTGTTCTAAATAAGCTCTATTTTATATACTTTGCTCACACTCATCATCTTCTGCTTTTCCTTGTGTGTGCATGTCCTTCTTTATTTTCTCTTTCTCCACTGGAATATATACTCCATGAGAGTAGGGACCATCACTGTCTTACTCACTGCTGTTTCCTGCCATCTAGATAATGCTTGGCACAAAGCAGGCTTTCAATAAATATTAGTTGAAGAAATACTCAAGGCTTGTTGAACAAAACTGAAATTGACTATATAGACTACTACATGTTGTCCCAATCAAAAGATTAAAAGATTTAAAGCATTTACCATACTATTAAAAAAAACTGCTCTCAAAGAGAAGGGTGGGCAAATGGGTGCACTTAAACATTGTTGGTCGTTAAATGAAATTAGTACAAACCTTATAGACATCCTTTGATCAGGAAAATACATTTTAAGGAATTTGTCCTGAGGCAATAATTTGAGAGGCACATCCAAATGGGTATTTAAGAACTTATAGTATATTTTACAACAGTGAAATCTTGGAAATAACTTTAAGTTCTATTTATAGTCATTGACATATATCAGTTACATGTTGAGTGTAAAAAGCTTATAGCAAAACATTTACATTTCTGTGAAATGTATTGTATGCATCTATTCTTTCAAATAAACATATAGAGATTTTTGCAAAGATGTTCACCAAAATGATAACAATGTATCTCTGGATGCTAAGATTTTATAAGGGACTCTTTATTTTATCCTTCTATTTTCTTGGATTCTTTAATTTGTGTTCAATGAGCATATTATTTTTTGTAAAGTGTTTCTCAAGTGGGAAAAAGCAAAGAGACTAACTGTAGAATACTTCTTTGACTGATTTATTTAAGGAACGCTGCTATCTTCTAGTATAGTTGGGTTTTTCTTTTGTTTTAGTAACTAGAATTGAAAGGCTGACTTCTCTTTCTCCCCAGGGCTCATGTCCCGTCTCCGCTACCCCGTTGGGCTGATGGGCAGCTGTTTGCCAGCCACAGCTGGTTTTAGCTACGGTAAAGTATTCACATGTGCCTGAGCGAACATCAAGTACAGTGAAGAGTGTACCCCAAGTTCCCTCTACATTCGTTAAAGCCTCAACTCTTTTGAGATGACTGTCTAGATACATTTCTTTGCAAAGTTTAAATCTCCTGTCTGAGATGTTTAAATATATGCATCTCATATTTAAATTTAGGGGGAAAATGTTTCACTTTTACTTCAAATTTCATTATACATGATTTGGAATCCTTTTGATAAATTACAATTCTTTTTACTTGAACATTTGAGTTTTTGCTGCCTGGTTATGTGGGTGACTGGCAAATGACTGCTCCCCAAGAAAACCACTAAAATGTGTCCTCTTTACCTTTTTCAAGTAGAACTTGGACAAAGTTTGATTTGAACTATTTTCTAGTGAATGTGATCATTGCAAATCTGTGAAAATAAGTCAGAGCCAAAGAATCCTGCTTTCTAATTTGGTGACACTGTTTCCTTAAATTTCTCTCATTACTGGGACTCAAAATATACTGAAAAAAAAATGATAACACAGGGTGGGGAGATAAAGCTCAGTGGTATATTGTGTGCTTGGCATGCATAAGGTCCTGGGTTCAATCCCCAGTGCCTCCATTAAGTGGGGGGAGAAAAGATAACACAATTATTGTGTAATAGTTAACCAGAAATCAGGGTTTCTATGAACTGGGATGGAAATGTGATTTCAGAGTATTATGAGGGCCTAGATTATTTCTCTGCCCCATAAATACTACATATAATAAAAATTCTACCATTAGCAATTTGTCTAAGTTAAACATGGTCCTCTTTAATTGAAAAAATACAATTTTCAAGTTTTTAACATCCAAAACAGTGCACAATTCATAAGTCTAGAGCCCGATTAATTTTGCCTGGTTTTGACGTCTTTATGTAAGTGGAATCAGACATCGTGCACCTGTGCCTGGCTTCTTTCTCTCATCATTCAGAGTGTGAATTCACCCACGGTGTTGGGGTGGCTGGTTCATCAGCATTGTGGTTCACTGCTACACTGCATGACCACACCACAGTTGATTTGCCCATCCTTCTTTAGATGGCCGTTTTGGTTGTAAGCAATTTTTTTGGCTCTTCTAAATAATATTATTATGAACATTCTTGTTTGTGTTTGATAAAGTGTAATACACACTTATGCCCCCACAATGTTGGATATACACTTAAAAGTAGAATTGCTGGGTCATAGAGTGTGTACATGCTCAGATTTAGTCAGTTTCCTAAAGAGCTTGTATGAAATTACACTTCAGTCAACAGTGCCTGAGAGTTCCAGCTGCTCTGCCTCTGCCCTCGCCAGTTGTTGTATTCTCGTGGGTTTTGTTTGCTTTGGTTTTGCTTTTGGTTTTCATTTGAGCCAGTCTGGCACATGTGTAGTGGTATCCCATTTTGGTTTAAATATGCCTTCCCTTGATGGCTAATTATGTTGATCAACTTTTCATACGTTCAGTGGCCATTCAGGTATTCTCTTTTGTGAGAGAATACTCTATTCAAGTTTTTTCAAAATTATTTTAAAAATTAATTATTTTTGTGGCAGGGAGGTAATTAGGTTTAATTATATATATATATGTGTATGTGTATATATATGTGTGTGTGTATTTTAAATAGAGGTACTGGGGATTGAACCCAGGATCTCGTGCATGCTAAGCACATACTTTACCACTGAGCTATACTCTACCCTCTTTTCCAAGTTTTTTTTTTAACTCTTAAAAAATAGGATTATCTGCCTTTTCCTAACTGATTTATTCTTATTTTGACTAGGAACTCTTTGTTGGTTTTGTGTTGTAAGAAACATCTTCTCCCAGTTTGTGGCTTACTTTTTCATTCCCTTAACGGGGTGTATTTAATAAATAGGATTTTTTGAAGTATAATTTATCAATATTTTCCTTTATGGTTATAACTTGTTGAATAAATCTATGCCACCCCAAAGTCATGTATATTTTCTCCTGTGTTACTTTCAAAACACACCTATTAGGCCAGAAAGAGAAAGAAAAATGCCACATGATATCGCTTATTTGTGGAATCTTAAAGAAAAGAACACAAATGAACTACTTACTATTTATAACTTAGATAACTGATTTCTTGTATGTGTGTAAGCACATTTGACTGTCCTTTATGATTGGATTACTGCATTATGTTAATTCTTACTTTGTGGTTGGCGTTATTCCTTTGATAACTATGTAAGTTTAAAAAGCTAAAGCTCTAAACTGTTCTTGGAAACAATGAACAGTATATATATATGTAAATTAAAAAAAAAAAGAAATATCCAGAGCAGATAAATCCAAAGAAAGAGAATGCATTTTGGTGGTTACTAGGGGCTGGGAGGAGGGTGTCAAAAGAGAGAAAGTGCTCGATATGTAAGAGATTTTATTTTGGGTGATGGGAATGTTTTGGAACTAGACAGAGGTGGTGTTTGCACAACATTGTGAATGTACTGAATGCCACTGAATTGTTTATTTTAAAATGATTAATTTCTAGATTGTGAACTTCACCTCAGTAAATTATTTAAATAAATAAATAATGAAATTTTTAAAAAAAGGAAGAAAGAAAAGCTGGAAAAAATGACGATAAGCCCTTACAACTCTTTTAAATGCATTATTCTAAATGTCCAGCAGATGGTGGTGTTGCTATATAAACAGAGATACTTAAAAAGTTAAGATTTGATTTTCAAGAGTTTTCCAGAGGGTGAATTTAAAAACAGTTCTTTCTTTTGCTTTTTTTTCTTCTGATTTATATCTGTTGAATGAGAAATATTCAGTAATGCAAATCTCATTGCAAACATACATTTAAATATGGATTAGAACCTTAATATTGGAAATGTTTATTAGATACATTGATTAGACTTTTTGCAAAGGAGAAAGGGCAGAAAAACCCTTGAGGGGTGGGAGTGGGCAGAGGAACAATAAAAGAAGCTGAGACAGGGGAGCCCAAATGTTCTCTGTGTCACAAGTTTACTCAGCAGGACATAAACGGACTGGGGACACACATATTGTAGGTCCCAGGTCTAGGTTTGGTAGGCATAGTTTAGAAAGGCACAGAACTGTGATTCATCCTGGGCATCTCAGGAAAAAAAGCATGTTTTGATACCTGTAATTTCTCTCCAAGGAACTAAAGTTTGTATTTTTAAACTTGAATTCTGGAATTACACTTTAAAGTCACAATGAGGGTATTTAAAATGGTGACAGGTCTCTTACACTCATTTATAAATTTTTTTAAACCTCTTTGTAGGAGAATAGGTCTAGATAACTCCTAAATCTTTTCTAGCTCTAAAAATTTAACATGTTTCCCCTGCTTGTAACACATGTTTTACTTTTCCAGAAAAGTGGGAGATAGACCCGTCTGAGTTGGCTTTTGTAAAGGAGATTGGAAGCGGTCAGTTTGGGGTGGTCCATTTAGGCAAATGGCGAGCACATGTCCAGGTAGCTATCAAGGCCATCAACGAAGGCTCCATGTCTGAAGAGGATTTCATTGAAGAGGCTAAAGTGATGATGTAAGTATATGTGGTACCCAGATAAGTGTTGCACAACGTCCTGGTGTCATGGAAAGAACACAGATGTTAGAGTCAGTCACATCTGGATTTCTGTCATAACTCTGCCCAAGCTAGTTGTGTGATCTGGGCAAATTGTTTGAACTTTGTGTGGCTTGGGTGTTACTTCACTTTTCCAGGCCTCAATTTCCTCACCTGTAAAATGGGGATAACAACACCTAACCCACTGGATCAATGTGTGAACTGAATAAGATTAATCTATGAAAGTGACAAGCATGTATGTTCTTTTCAGCTCAATAATAGGTGCTTAAAAGGCACATTTTTTTCCTTTTCTCAGAAGCAAAAATACTGATTTTTGTCTAAACAGTGATATAAAGTAAGCCAGAAAGAGAAATAAAAATACCATATGATATCACTTATATGTGGAATATAAAAAAATGACACACATGAACTTATTTACAAAACAGAAACAGACTCACAGACATAGAAAACAAACTTACGATTGCCAAAGGGGAAGTGGGGAGGGGAGGGAAAAATTGAGAGTTCAGGATATGCAGATACTAACTACTATTATGTATCAAATAGATAAATTACAAGGTCCTACTGTATAGCACAAGAAACTATATTCAATATCTTGTAGTAGCCAATAATGGAAAAGAATATGAAAAGGAATATATATATATATATATATATATATATAATGAAACTGAAACATTATACTGTACACCGGAAATTAACCCAACATCGTAAACCAACTATACTTCAATGAAAAAAATTAAATAGTGATAAAAGGATACAATATTTATTTTCAGAGAATTTAAGAATCCTGAGCTCTGACAGAAGTGGCTCTTTGCAGATCATTGGATACTGCTCTTCTGTGATTTCCCGGAGTAGTATTTTGCCTCAATTGAACCTTTGGCTGGCGTTTTCATCAGTAACCTTGGCTGGACCAGAATAGGTCAATCTTTTGGCATAATTCAGATCAATATTCTTTAAGTATTTGTTGAACGTTTACTTAGAGGAGCAGCAATGTGGTCAAGAGGGAAAACTCCAGGTGACATTACCTAGATCCTGTTTTATTACCCAAAGCAATTTAGTTGTGTTCCAAACTTGCAGACTCTAGTTGAAAAAAGCAAAAACAACCCCTTCAAAACTAAGGGTGATTAACTTGACCCATTATTTGAAGACAGAGCAGTGATGTCTCTTGGGGATCCCAACCAATACCCCAAGTGTCCCATCAGAATGTCCTTTCCATCCACTTACTGTAAAATGAATTTCCAGGGAAGTGATGAGCACAATTTTCCGGTGACATCAGCTTCCCTAAGACGTTTCTGTGCCCCTTGGTTACCCTACTGGCCTTTGCTCCCTGATACTACGTGCATCAGATCGTGGTTTTCCTATATCTAAAGGATAGATAAAAATTCCGTTCCTGTGTGTTGGATTAAATAGGTATAATAAATAGAAGAATGAAAGGGAGACATGGGATTAAGGGAAAGTTGGATTCATCCTAGAACCCCTATCAAAATGAAAGAATTAGAGCTTAAATCCCTCTTCTGAGATGTTTAAATATATGCATCTCATAAGGGCAATTTAAACTTTGAGGAAAAATGTATCACTTTTACTTCAAATTTCATTATATTTTATTAGGAGCCCTTTTAATAAATTACAGTTCTTTTTATTTGAATGTTTGGGTTGTTGCTGTCTGGTTACATGGGTGGCTGACAAATGACTGCTCCCCTAGAGAACCTGCCATAATGACATCTCTGACATCACTATGTGGGGATCCTTGAGGCTCAGGCCTGGGGTCAGGATCTCTGAGGATGATGTTTTGAGGGCAATGGAAGATGCATGGAGTGTGAGGAAGAGAAATAGTCCCTGGCAGTTTACGGAGGCAGGAATGAGGCTGCAAGGCTTATTTTTAAGTCAGTTCAGATAAAATGTGTCCTTAGGCTTGAATGTAGCTTTTTTTTCCCCTGATTTTTTTGAAAGTGAGACAGGAAAAATTCCATTCTAATGTCATTTTGCAAATACAGTCATCTTTAAAAAATTAAATAGCTGATACACATTGAGCTCTATCTGCCAAGAATATACAGCTTGGTACATGTTACTTTCATTTTGGTAGGTGTGTAATTTAAATGTCCCCTCCACCAGGATATCTCCCCTAACTACTCTGTTTAATTGGCAGCAACCCTGCCACCGCCCTGCAATGCTTTCTATTCTGCCTATGCTTTTCTATTTCCATCAAAGCACTCGTCACTATTTCAGAGCTTCATGTGTATTTATTTTGTTTCTCCCCCACTAGAACATAAGCTCCACAATGATGGAGCCTTCTTTTTCTCTCTCTACAACCTGGTGAGTGCTTAAAGTGATGGCTAGCATGTAGTTGGTGTTCAGAAAATATTTGTGGACTATTGAATGAGTTAATGAATCCTTACCAAGATTCTGTGAGGTAGGTTTTGTTAAGACTCCAATTTTACAAATGATAAAAAAGAAAGTTTGAAAACTTACATGATTTGCCTACAGTTCCTCAGCAAAACATTGGAAGAGTTTCTAATTGAAATCAAAATGGTTATTGGGCATGAAGAATTGAAATTAAAACAGTGTCGGGCATGAAGTCCATCGTCCTATCTAATATAATAATCAGCAAATACTTATTGGGCAACTGCTGTATACCTGATCTATAGTAGTTGCCATAACTGTTAACCAAAGCTGTTGTCATCCTGTATAGTTTTCCCAGTGCCCTAGAGGAGCGACTTGAAACCTCTACTATGTTCCTAACCACTGTATTTTGGAGTGTAAATTGGGGGCTTGCACTCATTTAATGTTCACTGGGAGGAAGAAGGACAGGTTCTATTAGCCCCATTTTACATATAAAAAAAGTGAGGCTTAGAAGTTTAAAGTAAGTCGTCCCTGGTCAGGCATCAATGGGTGATAAAACAGCAACTTGAATTCAGCTGTTTTGATTAGAACATTACATTTTATTTAAATTGTTATAACCCTGCATTGCTTTTAAAGGATCCTTCATTTTAGTTGTTTAGGGTTTGTGTCTCTGGATGTGGCTTATTAGTAGCAGTGCATATAAGTAGATAATGTGAACTAGTTGCACATATAATAGCAAATATATATAAATAATTTTAATTTCTCTAAAAAATTTTCACTTGTATCTCATTTCATTTCATTCCTTATTTCTACATCATGTCTTCATGCTAAAGTATTTTAGATTTTGAAAAAGAAGCTTTAACATTATAAATTCATGAGATTGTTTACTATGTCTGCAAGTCCATTTCTGTTTTGTAGAGTTCATTTTTGTCTTCTTCCTTTTTTTAGATTCCACATATGAGGATATCCTATGGTATTTTTATTTCTCCTTCTGTCTTACTTCACTTAGAATGACAATCTCTAAGTCCATCCATGTTGCTGCAAATGGCATTATTTTATTCTTTTTATGGCTGAGTAGTATTCCATTGTATAAATATACCACAACTTCTTTATCCAGTCATCTGTTGACGGACATTTAGGTTGCTTCCATGTCTTGGCTATTGTAAATAGTGCTACTGTGAACATTGGGGTGCGTGTATCTTTTCAAATTAGAGTTCCCTCTAGATATATGCCCAGAAGTGGGATTGCTAGATCATATGATAAGTCTGTTTTTACTTTCTGGAAAAATCTCCGTACTGTCTTCCATAATGGCTGCACCAAACTACATTCCCACCAGCAGTATAGGAGGGTTCCCTTTTCTCTACACCTTCTCCAGCATTTATTGTTTGTGGACTTTTTAATGATGTAAATGCCTTTATTCTTTAGAATTTAATTTTCTTTTTAAATATGCATCAATCACTCTTTCCTCCCTCCTGTCTGTCTAGAACTTTTTGCTAGGCAACTGCAATTGGGACGGTTGAGACTCAAGGGACAGAAACTGGGCAAAAAGTAGCAGTAATGAGGAAGCAAAGGGCTTACAAATTAGAAAAGAGCAAAACAGAATATGGGGCATGCACTGCTCTATATCTACAATGACTTAGGAAGCGCTGTGTGAACTCTTGACCCCACTTTCTCAGGGTGTAAAGTGGAAAGGAAACTGTTCTCCTTTCTCTGTGGATGGGCTATTTTTTATCACAGCTCAATGATGAACGTTATGTGGGGATGGAAAACATCACCAGTTGAGTCCAAATACTTTGAAATGCAAAGACGACTCTGCTCATGGGTCTGTGTTTTTCTTAAACAGGAAATTATCTCATTCACGGCTTGTTCAGCTTTATGGAGTATGTATACAGCGGAAGCCCCTGTATATTGTGACAGAGTTTATGGAAAATGGCTGCCTGCTTGACTATCTCAGAGAGAGAAAAGGAAAGCTTAGGAAGGAGATGCTGCTGAGTATGTGCCAAGATATCTGTGAAGGGATGGAGTATCTGGAGAGGAACTGCTTTATTCACAGGGATTTAGTAAGTACGGTGCAAGGTCGCTCATTATTTTACGTATTGTACTTATTTTCAGAAGGACATGACAGTTGAAGTCTTCCAAAACTTTAAATAATGCATCCCTTGGCTTAGTTTTTAAAAAATTTTTTAAGCTTTTTTTGGGGGGTGGGGGAAGAGGTAATTAGGTTTATCTCCTTTTTTTTTAGTGAAGGTACTGGGAATTGAACCCAGGATCTCATGCATGCTAAGCACGTGCTCTACCACTGAGCTATATACCCTCCCCACCCCTTGGCTTAATTTTAAAGATTTTCCTATTCATGTAATTTGTTGGGAAATGTCACTTTATTTTTAATTGCCCGTTGATGCTGTAGCCAAGGAAAGTGTTACCCTAAATAAGCCTTGAACTAATTAATCACCGCTAATCTACCAACTAAAACTAATTTACCTTTCTTTCCTCTCCCTCCCTCTCTTCTTCCTTCTCTTCCTTCTACCTGTCTTTCTTTCAACCAATAATCAAGGATGTCTGAGTGCCCAGAGTATGCCAAGCACTCTGCGAGGCACTGGAGTACAATGGTGAAGAGCCTTGAAAAACATTTTCTACCTGCTCCATGTTTATTCATGATATTCATACTGTTCCTTTTGTGTCCTTCCATGTCTCATTTCTAAGTCCCCAAAGTAAACCCAATGAGAATTTGCAAATGTATGAGAAGTCCCTGACACTGTCACCCAGCGGTGGTCCTGTACTTCCGTCAGCCATGGCCACGGGACCATATAATCCATCGTTCGGGCTAGGCTATGCTGGGGAGAGAAAGGAGGCATACGTTCACTGGCCCCAGCATACCACTGCTTGTCCTACGCACGACTTAGAGCTCTCATGGCATTTATTATTTACTACTTCCGGTAATAGTTGTTTACATTGTTTATACAGATACTAGGCTCTGTAAACAACTTGACATCAAGGCCTAGACTTCTGCAGTGCAGTGTGATGAGAACACAAGTTGCAGACCAGTGGTTCTCAAACTTAGCTGTGCGTTAGAATCACCTGGGAGCTTTTTAGAACATCGCAGTACCCAGCCCATAGCCCAGACCAGCGAAATCCCCATCGCTGGGGGTCGAATCTGGCCATCAGCATTTTTTTGAAAATGTCCCTGTTGAGTCCCCTGTGCAGTCAAGATTGAGAACGCTGCTCCAGAGCTGGTTAAAATCTCCCCTCTGTTTCTTACCAGCCGTGTGACCTTGGGCAAGCTGGCTCGCTGGTAAAGTGGTAGTAGTTTCAGCACTTCCTTCCTACAGGCTCGTTGGGAGGGTTACGTGAATTAATATGTGTCAGTGGTTAAAGCAGCGCCTGGCACATGGGAAAGCTCAGCTGTGCTGCCACAGCTCGGCCGTTGTTTGATGCTGTGTGGCCCCTTCCCCAGGGGCCAGCACACGGGAGCCACTGAGCGCGCTTTTGGATGGGTGGCTATGGTGTCCGCTCCATCTCGCTCACTTTCCTGAGTCTCTGTAGGTTTGCCCTTCCTGATAAGGATTAGAATTCAAAATTTAGTTGGGTGACAGGTCTGGTCATTCTGTTTGCTCTGGGTGGCATCTGCAGCCCTTCCTAGTCTTGGTTTCTTCCTTGATCACCGTCTTTTGTGTTCTGTTTTCTCCACCTACGTGCCACTTAAAATATATCCGCTAAAGAGGAGTCTTTCCTGTCGAGGGCTTGCCTTGTGGTTTGGCTTTGAGATCACTGCAGGCATTTGTCAGCTTCTTCCAAACTGGCTCCTTCTGGCTCTCCGCTTCGGGTTTTCTGCTTCTTTTTGGACTGACTGAACTACAGACTAGCTGAAAAGGAAAAAATTCTGTCAAATCATTAAACTACATGAGGCTAAATAACCAAATCAATTTTTTTGACTAGGCTGACTGAAAATGGATTGTTTTCGTATCAAATTAATTGTCTCTACATTTTACTCAGTTCACACTATATTTAGTTCATCACAGAAATGATAAAGTATCACTGTAAATGGTTATATTTAATGTAGTGTAAGTTTTAAAATACAGTTTCTTAGTTTTTATTAGCAATTAAAAATCCCAAAGATATATACTGACTGTCCCTTATTCCTCATGCATATTGGAGTTTCCTCTTTTTATTTATGAAGCTAAATTTAAAAATACACATTGTTTTTTTTACCAACATTCATAGTTTATCTCTTAGATTGAGTTAATCCTGATACGTACCAAAGATACTTCTTGAGAAAGATTACACGTTTAAAAAATTTCTGTTCGTTTTTTAAATTTCTTTGAAGAATCATTAAAATCCATCACATTGGTACCCCAAAAGAAAAGAGAAGAAGACCCCAGTTCTTGTCATACCCAAAAGATAAGATTACAAACGGGAGATGGTATGTTGTGTAGTAAAAGATTTTAGAGGATTTATTTAGAAAAGGGAAAGTACACATCCAAGATCTGGAGGTGGGCTGATCCGAGTGAGGAAAAGGGATGATCCTTGTCCACCCTTTCTCTTACACCCCCACTCAGAGGTGGTCTTTTGATGGATTGATGGCTCTTGCCCTTGGAGTGCTTACATGTTTGGTCCCTTTGCGCATGGCCTTCCCTGTGGTGTAGACAGAAAAACCCATGGGGGTGCTAAACCACAGTGCTAATAATTATATTACCATGGGCACTGGGTCATGTCCGTTAGGTTCTTTTTGCTGCTGTGCAGTTGCGGCTGTCGGGTCCCAACCGGTTTCTTGCTGGCTCTCACTTAAAGGAAGTAAAGCCCCTTTATGCTGGAGGCAGGGATACTGCCATCTTCCCAGCCATCGTCCCTCTCCTCCGCCTATCCTGCCCGGTCCCCCGACTTATTGAACTATGTAACAACACGAGGGCAGACGTGGTGAATCATACATAGACAGGATTGACAGGCATCACTGTAAAAATAACGTGTCTGCTCACACAGAGAAGTAGTGCTGGGGCCCAAGTCGGGTGAGAAAAAGGAGAAGAGAAACGCTTGGAAAAAACCCTTGTATTCAAACCGGGATTCTTTTCTTCTGTCTATAGGCGGCGAGGAACTGCTTGGTCAGTTCTACAAGCATAGTAAAAATTTCAGACTTTGGAATGACAAGGTACATGCTGCTCTGTTTTGTCTGTTTACTTATAAAAGGGACTCTTACATTTGTCTGTGGACAGACTGAAGACGTTATTGGCTTTGCTCTGTTTCCTCGGAGGGAAGTACTGATGTGGTTGGATGGTCTGCTGACCCACTTTGAACTTTAAGACGTGCACCAGTTTTAGCTGGGTCCTCTAAGCTATTCTGATCTACTTTCAGGTCATTATGAATAAAACTATGTCATGTCTTATACGGGATATTTTTCTAGCAGAATGGATGGTGGTGGTGATAGTGAGATATCACTCATATTCATGAGCCATTCTACCAAATATTTTGTTAATAACACAGTCCTTCTCCTTCTCTAGAAAGTCTAGACTTTTGAAACTCAAAAGCTATAATAAATGTGGCTCTTTTCCTTTTGATTTCTGTTATTCACTCTTTCCCCTGGTAGAATGATCTCGGGCTCAATAAAGGGCTTAAAGATGGGGTGAGGTAAGGTATGTGGGGAAAAAAGGAGGTGTGTGGGGAAGCATTAATACATATTTCAAAAATACTGTATTGCACATGCAAGGGGCTGCATGGCACAGGTTAGCTATCCTTTCTTTTCAGATTCCCACACTTGGATGTTCTTGCATGCAATTCTCAAAAAAGAGAGAGGGTTTATTACTTTTTTTGTCGTTACATTTTAAAGAACTTTATAGCTGTTCCTGATTACTTTCCGTTTAGGGCCATTCAAATGCACGAGAGATTTTATGCACCAGATATATTATGTTCAAATACTTTTATTTTCCCCTTCTCTGCCCTACCAAAAATATATGTATAAAGAAAGAAAATAAAGCATTCAATTTTGAATTTATTCTTCCACAAGTATTTATCTTTGAAAAAATAATCTTGGTTGTTCTTCGCAGAATTTAGAATTTCTCATAACTGATAAGTGGGATGTGTTTTAGACTGAAGAATTGCTAAGGTATTTTGAGATCCAAATGAAATAAACACAATTGAGTCTTGGTTTAAGGAGGAAATTCCATAAGGGATTCTCTTCCACTTTGATAGCAAAAAGAGAAGATATACAGAACCTTCCTGGGGTAAAACAGTTTGTATTTTAGAAATCAGAGTTAACTAAAAGGATTTGAAGGAAACAGAGGTAATGAACACAATGTGCTTTGAAATCTGACTGCCCTAGGTACGTTTTGGATGATGAATATATCAGTTCTTCTGGAGCCAAGTTCCCAATCAAGTGGTCCCCTCCTGAAGTTTTCCATTTCAACAAGTATAGCAGCAAATCTGACGTCTGGTCATTTGGTGAGTGAATTTGATGTTCATTTTTTGGAGCTTTGTTTAATAATATAGGCCAATCTCTTTTTTTTAACTTTTTTTTTCCATTGAGTTATAGTCATTTTACAATGTTGTGTCAAACTCCAGTGTAGAGCACAATTTTTCAGTTATATATGAACGTAAGTATATTCATTGTTACATTTTTTTCTCTTGAGATGTTTTCTCTTGAGATCTTGTATATATTTCCCGGTGCTATACAGTATAATCTTGTTTATCTATTCTACATTTTGAAATCCCAGTCTGTCCCTTCCCACCCCCGGCCCCCTTGGCAACCACAAGTTTGTATTCTATGTCTATGAGTCTGTTTCTGTTATGTATTTATTTGTTTTTTTTAAGTTTCCGCATATGAATGATCTCATGTGGTATTTTTCTTTCTCTTTCTGGCTTACTTCACTTAGAATGACATTCTCCAGGGACGTCCATGTTGCTGCAAGTGGCAAGGCCAATCTCTTTTAACTTTGATTTCTTAATATAATGTTGCTGAAAGTCTTCCTATGACTGTGTTTCTGTCTTAGGTATTCTGAACACATCAGGGTGTCTTTGGCAACTGGTGTCATACTCTTTCTTTTTTTTTTCACTTTTCATATTTTTTATTGAAGTGTAGTTGATTTACAGTGTTAGTTTCAGGTGTACAGCAAAGCGATTCAGTTATATATACACATACATGCATATATATATTTTCAGATTCTTTACCATTATATGTTATTGCAAGAAAATGAGTATAGTTCCCTGTACTATATAGTAGATCCTTGTTGTGTATCTATTTTATATATAGTGATGTGTATCTGTTAATCCCAAACTCCCAATTTATCTCCCTCCACCGCCCTTTCCCCTTTGGTAACCATAGTTTGCTGTCTGTGAGTCTATTTTTGGTTTGTAAATAAAATTTGTGTCATACGCATTCTTACATAAGTCTGCCTTTTGGATCTTTTCCCTTCCCATTGAGCACTTGTTGCAAAACCATAGCAGAATCTACTGATCTAGAAAACAAACTCAGCCAACTTTTCCACACGACAGAGACTTGCAAGGAGAACTGATCTTATGGTATCATTGAATTTTGAGTGTGATTAATAAACTTCATTGTCTAACTACGAGCAATGCTATCTCATTTACGTCATTACCTTTATATTTTGTGAAATTAGACATAGGCCTCCTTGGGATCTATCAGTTGCTATTTATATTGGGTAGTGTTCCTCATTGAGAAGGAGACACCTTGGACCCATGTCCAGTGGAGTTTGTTCTTTGAGTTGACTTTCACAAAATGGCAATAAATGAACAGTAATCTATTTTCTTTCATCCAGACCTTCCTGGGTGGCATCTTGGGTTTGGAGAGACATCTGTACCCTCAAAGGGGATGAATTTTATTGTCCACAGTGAGGTTAGGCTTGTACCACTGATCTTATTAGCTTTCTAGTGACATGTGGTAGTCTTGGTAGGTGACATTGTAAGCTGTACTAGAGAGCAGCTACATTGTGAGACTGATGGATAGAACACGAGCACCTCACCAGGTGGCTGCTGAACAACGAGAACTCCCTGAGTTTTACCTGACCCCTTGTCTTCCTTCCCCACTGGACAGTGAGCTTCTCGAGCACATGGACTGCTTTCAGGCTTAAGAATCCTCTGGCACTAGCCTGTGCCTGGCCTCTGATCAATACCTAACACACATTTGTAGCATAAGTGGGTAATTAAATAAACTCAAATTGGGAGCCTTGAAGGAGTTTCACCCATCAATCAATCAATCAATCAATGACTTTTGAATACCTGTTTATATACAGAGCCCCTGACAGATTTTCTGGGGGTTCTATCCAGCAGTCTGTCTTTTGGTAGGAAGAGGGGTACACATACCTTCTGTTGGTTGGTAAACTCTGCAGGCAACAGGGGATCATGCAATTCTGTCATTTTCTATGGAATGGCAGGAAGCTCCATTGATTTCAGGGTGTGGAGGCATGAGCAGTACTTAGAAATGAAGATGCGGCCAGCATTTTCTTCCAATAAGGAGGCAATTGAGACCAATGGAAAAGGAAGGGCCTGGACTTCACTGGGAATATATGCAGTTTATAGACGTCTTCAAAAACGAAGATGGACAGGGCCGCTTCCCGTCACTCTGGATGATTGTAACTCAAGGCTGGAGGAGGAAGAGAATGCCTTGGAATTTGAAACAGCTCTTTAAGTTCCCAGTAAACATTGTTCTCTAACCTCTTGTTTTCATGCACTTATTTGCAGGAGTTTTGATGTGGGAAGTTTTTACAGAAGGAAAAATGCCTTTTGAAAATAAGTCAAATTTGCAAGTGGTAGAAGCTATTTCTAAAGGCTTCAGGCTCTACCGCCCTCACCTGGCACCCATGTCCCTGTATGAAGTCATGTACAGCTGCTGGCATGAGGTGAGTGTCCCTTACTTTCCTGCAAAGGTTGGCGGTCCCAGCATCTGAGGGCAGACCTGATTATCGCCAGCATTACTCCAGGACTCTGTCATGGCAGGACAAGTTCTCTGTTTCTCAGGAATGATCCCGGAGAGCCGGAAGTACTCCCACTGCGAAACCATTAATCCATTTTGTTTCTGACAGTGGCCTTTCATTTGAGGAATTCAGTGCATGTTCCAAGTCTTATCTTTCTGAGGTTGGAGCCCCAGAAACTCTCGATGTTACTGAAGCCTCAGTGATGAGATATATTATTCCTTTTAAGCACTGCTGGTGGAAAAAGGAAAGTCCATTTAAGGACTTAAGGGTAGAGTCAGGCTTGTTACACTTCCACACTGAAAGCGAAGGATGGTGTTTTTATTTACGTCCTTCTGATTCATCTTGTTTTTTCCAAGGCTGGAAGTAATGGATTTCATCTCTCCTGTGACACTCAAGACTTCCTATAGAGAGATTAAAACAGAATAGAAATGAAGGCAGAATGTGCGCCCGGAACTTCTACTCAGAAAAATTCTCTCTCGGGAGCCCAGTTTCTCTTTTTCTTGAAATGCCAAGCTTAAAAATAAAGCCAGAGGAGTTGATATCCCACCTCCGTCTTTTCTGGGCACCGACTCAACACACCCCTCCCCTTCAAGGCAGACCCCTCTGTGATTTTGACAGCTCCTCTCTCTTTCCAGCTGGCAGTTTCAGCCCAGAAAAATTACAGCTGGATGAGGGGTTTCCTCCTGGCTGAAAAAGAAATTACTTGACTCCCAATTCACAAACAGGAGAAAATTCAATATTTCAAGAGCAATATGGTTGTTCCCATTCCAGAGAAATATTAATTTTATGAAGATTCCCTGGTGTATGAAAATACTTTATACATGATTAACTGCTCTGCAAGGAATCTTGAAAGACATAAAAAATGTTAAAGTAAGCTGTTAGTAGCAAACAGATGTCTTACGAGCATCTTTGCAGTAACAATGTAAACAGCTCCGGAATATATATTGCATATTAAGCTACATGCTTGTATATGTGCACACAGTATGCTTGTTGGGATTTTACGTATCTGTGGAGAGGAGACAGAGAAGGGGGTAAAAGAGATGCTGACAAGGGGACCAAGTAAACGAGGCACCTCTAGCTTCAAACATGATTACATTAGCGTCGATACACCTGTTACAGGCTCTGTTACCTGCACAACCTCAGCACCAGCAAAAAGCTCCACAATTTATTCCCAGAGTCTCAAGGAGGACTCTCACGTGTGCTCCCACATCCATCTGCTCTGTCTTTTTTATTGATGCCTTATGTTTACAAGCTACTAGGGGTGGTGTCTCCCCACTAACCCTGCTGCCGGTGACCCCTGTGAGAATGTGGCTACTATGAGTAATTCTATTTCCCAGGGATTCCAAAAATAACATGGAGCTTCCTCATGGAGCCAGAGTCAAACCACATCCCATGGTGAAAGAGGAAAGATGCTCCAATCCTTGGCTTCATGGTCTGAGATTTTTGTTAACTGAGCCTTAAGACAGCACTGCCTGTGATCCAAGGCCTGCAAAGTCCCTCGTGAAAACATGCCTTTTGCTTTTCTGACTAAAATCTTTCTTTCCCCAGGTGGTCAGGTGTAGTGAGTAACTGGGGCTGAGCTTGGGAGCTTGGTACCCCAGCAGCCCCTCTCTCCCAGCTCTTCCTTTACCCCGTGCCTATCAAGTCATCCAAACAGATCTCTAGGGCAGCACTGTCCAGTGGAACTTTCTGTGATGTTGGAAGTGTGCTGTGTCTGCGCTGTCCAATACGGTAGCCGCAGCTGGCTGTTAAAGAATTAAAAAGTGGCTAGTGTGACTGAGAACTGAATTTTAATTAACTGAATTAATTAATTGAATTTTTAACTAATTGAAACGGCCACACGTGGCTGGTGTTTGCAGCTCCCGTCATTTGATTTCTGGAGGGCTTTCCACCCTTGTATTTTCACACTTGTGCCTCGCTCACCTGCCATCCGTGCCCTGTGTGTCAGCCAGGATATCTTTGTCTTCTGATCGTGGTGAAGCAGCCCAGATCCGGGTCTCTGCCAGCAAGTTCCAGGGCTGCTGTCCGAGTGAGTCTTAAGCTGAGCTGACCGCCTCCGCTTCCCTTTTCCAGAAACCTGCAGGCCGCCCGACGTTTGCTGAGCTGCTGCGGGTGCTCACAGAGATCGCGGAAACCTGGTGACCTGGACGGAATGCCGACCCAGGGCGTCGTCCGGCAAGACTGTCACACAGGGAAACCCTGTGTGTGGGTGGCTAATGGTGAATGTTTTCCTTTAGACGCACTGACTCTCGGAAACAGCGCAAAGATCATAGACTTTTCAAACTTTTTAAAGTTTAAGCATATTCTGACAATTTTTCTACATGCGTATTTGACAGAGACTTCGAAGCTCTGATTTTTCTGTAATATTCTTTGCGTCTGAAGGAAGGAAAAATACTCCATAGCGGCCTTCAAACTGGCTACTCTTCCTGAAAACAGCCCCGAGGCCCCCTGAGGGCACGTGAACACCTCATCCTTTACTGAGGAAGGGTCTGAGGACATTTCTTTCCTGAAGAAGAGTGACATTCTTTCCTTTGATGGCCCATGCACAGAAGATGAAAATAAAGTCTTCCAACTCCTGGAATGAAGGAGCAGCCCCTGCAGAATGTCATGCTTTTGAGCTGTACGGAGTTTCATGAAAAATGCACCTTTGCCAACCACGTGAATGTGAGCCTTCTGGAACTCCCCCATAACCTTCCCTGTGTTATTTAGCAGATTGTTTTTGCATGTTTCTGATTATCTGGGGGACAGTCTCCTGTGTTCCAGGATTGAGCATGGTTATAGGAGAGAGTTCTTCTTTGAGTGGGTCCTGGTGACATTTCTATTTCCAGCGATGTCCATTGTCTGCAGCAATTCAGAACTGGAATCTTAGTTCTGAGATTTCACACTTTGTATGTGTGAAGTTGGACCATTAAAGAAGTCTCATTTTGTCATAGAAAGTGCCTCTAGTACCCTTCTAGAGGATGACTTGTTTTTCCCACGAGAGCAAGAGGAGACAAAAACAAGATACCCAAATGTTACATTAAGTTCCATTATTTTTGAAGTTCAGGGTTTTGGACTCAAGATGGAACAATCAGTCATCAGAAGTAAATCTTAACTTCTCGTGCACCGTATGTGGGAATGATTGGAAATTGAGCTTTGCTGTCCTGAGTGCTTCAGAAGTACACAGGGAGAAGGGTGCGACAGAAGGCACCAGTCATTACCGTGAGGGTTAACGACAGGAGCCTCTTATTCGTGTGCTGTCCCACCCGGCACCGTGGTTCTGGGGGAACGTGCTTTATGAGTTTCGTGAGATTCTAAGTTACTGGCTGTCCACAGTTGTGACTTTTAAATCACATTTGCCCACTCCAGGAATGATCCATTAGAACATCAGTGGTCCTCAGTCAATGTGCATTGAACTAATGAGCAGCAGGCACAAGAATTATCAACCTTGATAATGTAAGTGGTGCTGTCAGAAATATTTGTGTGAGTTACTGTGCTGTTGCTGAAACTACCACACCCCACTTCCCTTACGATCCTGCTGTGGGGAGGTGAGACAGAGGCTACTACTGAGACGCTGGCTCAAGGAGGATGTGTGAAAGTCTAGCTCAGGAAGGCATGAGACAATTTATCAGCAAAAGCTGAGGGAGGGGAGGTTAATGTTAGGACATAGGAAATAAAGTCTTACCAATATATGCAAGCAGGTATCTATCCTTAGACGTCCACACTCCCCCCACCAACCCCCCAAAAGCCCCAAACCCAAATACTGAAAAGATAGGACTGACTATGGAGCATCCTCCATCCCTCTAGTGCAGGAAGCCAGTACAGAGCAAAGAGTAATTCCTGGGGCATCACGTGGCAGCAGCTGGCGCTTCTAAGAGTATATATTGTTGGTGGCAAGGAAGTTCTATTCCTTTTATATTAACAATTCAGGAAATTTTGAGATACCCAACTAGGAAAGGAATGCCTGGTTGTCACATAGCTAACTGAGACTCCAAATAATGTGTGAATGTGGAATGTCTTCAGACAGAGATTCAGCATTCTCTGTCCAGCAAAAGAAAAAAAAA